TATGTTTACCAACGAATTCTTCGTTTTGAGTTTCATATGCTCACAAAATTTGGTGGTTCTACGAGTGTTGTAGCCGGAGTTATTGTCGAATTCACACATGACCTAACTCGAAATGGCAACTATGTGCACTTGCACTAATCGCCTAAATCGAGTTAAGAGCAGAAAACATCTTTTTTATGTTTTTGGCAAACCACTTATTTCGAGATAGGCTATTGTTGCAAATCGAAATTAGTGACATTTTTTTTTATTTGTATGAATTTTTACAACCGCTTATCTCGAGTTAAGCTTTTGTTGCAAAATTAATTTTGAATTTTTTTAAGTACTAACTCGACATAAGCGATTTGTGTAAAATAATTATTGTTGGTTGTTTAAACTCATCTCGAGTTTGGCGATTATTGCAAATGCAATTATATTCCAAAAGGCTTCTTATGTCGAGTTAGGTTTTTATAACGCGTGCAAATAAGAACAATACATCGAAGTTAAGCGTTTAGTGTTCGAAATAATACATGATCAGTATAGAATATTTTTTAGTTTTTTATAATAAAAAGTATTTTATAACGCTTAACATATTATTTTATGATTTAAAACTTGTTCACTATAATTAAAATTAAATCTTACATTCAGTGACAAGGAAGATAGTTGTATTTTTTAACCCAAAATATAAAACATGTACACAAGTTACCTGCATTTTTAATGCTCTAATTAGCTAAATATTCCTTGTTTAAGATTTGAATTTTTTATTTGACAAATAATATTGTAGGTCATTTCGTGATTTACCTGCGACAAATATTTTTTTCAATTGACGGAGTTCCCATGTTAAAATGACACGTGGCTAGCTACCTGATGGTAGATTGTTTTGCCTTTGTGGTCTAATTGTATTATTAAACAAAGTGTTGTTTTTTTACGCCCTTGTAAAACACATGTTATTAGAAAGATCAAATTTTTGTGTTTAACAAGAGTTTTCATTCTAATTATTGTATTACAAAGCAACACTTTTATTATACATTAGTAAAACACATTTTGTTAGGATATTCAAATTATTATAATTTGCATGGGTTTTCAATAAATAAAATTGGTACATCTGGGAATAACAATATTTTGTTATACTTTTTATTACTCATTTCCGTGAGATCAAATTTCTTCGATTTTCAAATATTTATTATATTTTTGTTATTTCGAAGGAAGTATTTTTTACAAAGACAGTTATTTATTATTGTTTTTAAATGTGCTTATGTTGGAAATTGTTAAATAATGTGAAAATTATCCAATTTAAACTTTCTCCACGCTTAATAAATGTACGTTAAAAAATTTGGAACTTGCTAGGAGAGCTGAAATAATTGTTTCAGATATTAGAGGTATTGCAATATATTAGAAGCTCACTTAACGGACTCAAAGTGTTTTAAAATATGGAAATTAGCGAAACTGGTCCTATAGTAAATAAACAAGCATCAACAGATCTTACTTTGAAAACCGAAGTAAATACAGTTTTGAAAACCGCAATTGACTTTGGTCGTGGTGACTGTATTAATGATCCTGATTTTAAAATTTCTAAACAAAAATTCTTCAGGATCCGACGTAAATGACGGGTTCATTGAAATAAAATAAAGTAGAAAAAGATGTTCAAAAAAATACAGATATTCGGTTTCAAATCAAAACAAATTAGAGAAATATTCAAGAGAAAGGGCTTTCAACGATAGGAATTTGGGAAATGAATATGAAAATTGACAAGGCAAGTAAGTTTCTTTTGTCGTAAAAACTACAGATGTAAGATTTTCAATAGCATTCAAAAGCAAATTTTCGAGTCCTATCGGGCACGAGAACATATCTGTAAATATCTGTACATGTGGTTTCATTAATCGGCATATCTGAAACAAAAACAATATGTAAGATACAACATATCAACAATTTCAGAGTACGTAAATATCACACACAATGGTCTCCTTTACACAATGCCTTGATGAAACTTGTTTCCAAAAAAAAGGTTTTAAACAAAAACGAATAGATACTACATGTAAATATGTTTATGCTACAACTTTATTTATTTGCTTTGTCAGATCCGTTGCACAATGAAGCCTTTTTGTAATTGAAATACTTTTTGAAACTCTCTTAAGTGGAAAGAGCCACCCCACAGATTTTAAAAAATTGACTTCCAAAAAATATTTTACAAAAACAGTTAATACAAACAACGCTTTCTTATATTTTAAGACGAGGTGTAAACTAGTTAGATTTTCAAGACATGCTCCAAATTGAAGAAGAAGAGAAAATTAGTCCCAAAAAAGAAAAACTTAGAGTACTTGATGCAATTTATTGATCCTTTGGTTCAAAAATTTTACAAAACGATTAATACTGGACACTTAGCAGATACTCCTCCATATTTAGTCGAAGAATCCGGGAGAGAATAAAAGATACTGTCACCTTTCTTAAATTTAATAAAACAATATTTTTTAAGTTTTTAGAAATAATTTTTCTTTGAAGTTTATTCATTTCTTACCTCAATTTATGGTTTGAAGAGTGAATAAAGTTGGGTCAAACCAATGGTTTGTATTGTAGCACTTTTCCCTTAAACAAGTGAAAATACTGCTTTTAAAAACAGTCTATGTATATCCACCATATCTATTAAAATTATTTTCATTTATAAACGAAACTATTTCTAGGATTGCATATATTTAGGATGAACCATTTATGCAGTCTTTGAAATAAAGCAAAATTTAATATAAACAGGGGTTAACATAATGCTCGATTTTAAGGGTTAATTGTGTGAGTTAAGAAAAATAATTATATTTTTTAATTTCATGGAATTTACTGTTAATTTTTTGCGTTTATAGAAATTTGAAAAAACTTGCGGTTTCAGAAATATAAGGTGTCAAAAATGCATATTTCACAAATTTCAAGAGGCCATAACTTGAGAGGGGGTGGAGATGGAAAAAAATTTTCTTCTAACGAAATGAACTACTTGTTAATGTCTAAAAGCTCCTAAAATTTCAAGCTTCTACAGGCTGGGGTCTAGAAGAAAAACGACATGAAAAATTTGGAAAAAAAGGACTTTAGATAACGGTAAATTTGAACGGCCATTTTGTTTTTCTAAAGTTTAACTATAGTATACCGCGGTAGGGGAAGCCAGTCACTGCCCTTCTGCGTTTGCGAAATTTCAAAAATGCTTATGGTTTCATTGCAACAAATAGTTAAAATAGGCCATTTTTAGTGCTTTGGGGGGGTATAACTTCTAGAGGGGGGGAGATAGGTAAAAATTTTGTTCTACGAAAATAAGTTTCTAGTAAAGATCTATGTACGTATTAAATTTCAGCTTTCTATCTTTAAGAATGTAGAAGTTTTGTAAACAGACACACGGACAGACGGACGGACGGACGGACGGACGGACGGACGGACGGACGGACGGACGGACGGACGGACAGAGTGAAACTAATAAGCACTTTTTTTCAAAAAATTTTTGGAAAAGTGCTAAAAATCAAATAACCTAAACATAATATATATATTTCTTCCCTTTTTAGTATAACTTAAGTCACCTAAAACCATATCTTCAGTTTTGCAACAACAGCTTAAGTCGACTTAAGTTTGACGAAAATGCAAAAGTAATTTTTCACAAATCACCTAACTCGAGATATGCTTTGCAAAATGCTTTATAAATTTTGTATAACCGCTTATCTCTCTTTTTTCATAATTATGAGAATACTATTAACTGTTTTACTTCAAATTATGAGTTAATCGCTTCCTTTTTTAATTATCTTTCGATCAAAAAAAAAATTGGTTCAAAAAACTTCATAACTTTTTTCAAAATTAAATTTAAAGTTTAAATTTAAAAACAGACTTAAGTCGTTTGTGCTTGAAGCCACTGAAATATTTGTATTCAAAACTTTGATATTATAAAGTTATAAATATGGGAAATTAAAATAATTTTTTTGCCATGATTATAAATCAAAAAGTTGCTGGCATTAAAATTTTATTGATAAAAGTTAATGCTGTAACATACTTCAGAAAAAAGCAACGCCAACTAAAAATAATAAAATTTAAAAAATTTATATTCATATTTTTTAACCCTATAATATCTTATTTCTTTTTTTTACATAAATTTTAAAACTTAAGAATATTGTTAAGCAAAAAATGAATATAGTAATATGCATAAATTCCAACTAAAGCTTTATTACATTCAAATAAAACTATAATTTGGCATTTTACTAACTTTAATTTAAATATTTATGTACAATAAATATTTTTCGGAATTCTTTCCAAAAAAAGAATTCTCAGTCTCGTTAGGGTTAAAATTTAGATAAGGAAAAATGACAATACTAAAATGGCCATGCCTAACAACTAGACTTATAAAGGAATTCTTTTAAGAACAAAATTCTATAAGAGTTGACATCTTATAAAAAATACTTTATGAGAATTAAATTTTTTTATAGTTTGCTTCAGCAATTTCAGTAGTTATTTTATGAGAGTAGCAAAATTTTTAACACTACAAGTGGTAAGTCTTTATTATATGAAATGAACCTTACGAGAATAGCATGAAAACAAAAAAAAAAGAAAAAAAATTATGAGAGTATGGAGTGTGGTATGAGAGTTTCAAGTGGTAAGTCTTTATTATATGAAATGAACCTTACGAGAATAGCATGAAAACAAAAAAAAAGAAAAAAAATTATGAGAGTATGGAGTGTGGTATGAGAGTTTCATGAGAGTTTATTAGAATTTGATCCTACGGTTTTGAAGCACGCTCTTTCAGAATCTCTTACCCGTTTTTGATTATCTCTATTAGTTCTTTAGAAACCCAGTACCGATTTTGTTCCACGTCCACCATTTTTACTAGTTTGCGCCCACCATTTGGCACATTTCCAAATTTGTGGCGTATGGAACAAGAAATTTATGCATTTTTTGAAATTAATTTGATCCATTTCCATGAGTGAGCGACATGGAACAAGCTGGAACGGTTTTATACGTTAATTTTAACTTGTTTCATGTGTTACTAAAAAGTTTTCTTTTGTGTTGTGTTATGGATATGGAATTTGTTCAAAAAAAATTGGTCCATATCCACGGCGTACTGTTAATATTGCCATTAATCTAAAAATAAGAGTGCAAAAATTTATTAGTCATTAGTCGTGCTCAAACCGTCGTACAAGGAAGTCGTGTTGTTGAAAAGGAAAAAGTAAAAACAAAAAGTATGGAATCTAGAAACTGGAGTTCCAAGTACAATAAAAAGAGGAAAAAATATCAAAAAAGTAACACCTTCTGAAAAAATTTATGAAATTTGAGGGCATATAAATTTTTTTCAAACAGATGACTCTCACTACTGTCGGGCTAAAATTACCCATATATCGGAAAGTATATAATAATGAATTTTATATCGCTTTCCACAAGCCTAGGAAGGATATATGTGATAAATGTTTCATATTTCGAAATAAAACCAACACTTCTGAAGAAGAAAACCAATTATATGAAAGACATCAGCAAGAAAAAACAATCTGCAAAGCTGATCGGGTTGTTGATAGAAGTAACATAGATCCCAATACATGCGTTATATGTTACGATACGCAAAAAGTTTTCGGTTTGCCCAAGGGAAACGCATCTGTTGTAAGCTAAACGTTTACAATTTAAAGGGAAGATAATTCCAGATAAAGAAAATATTAGATATCGCGCTATATGAACAGAAGCTAATAGTGGTCGTTCAGGTAACGATGTTACAAGTGCTTTGATAAGAATTTTAAAAGAAGTTGTAAAGATTTTCCTTTTCTGAAAAGAATTATTTTGTGAAGCGATTCTTGCATACCACAAAATCGTAATAAGATTAACACGACAGCGATTAAAATATTTGTGGAGGTAGCATCTAACTTGGAATGTATATATATCAAAAGTATTCTGAACCTGCGCACTCCAATATACAGTTGTGGAAGTTTATTTAAAAAATGTGGAAGTTTATAGTGCTCTTCATTTGATTCGTTTATTAAAAAGCATGCAATACAAAAAGTGTAAATTATCAATAATACAAATGAAGCCAACGGATTTTGAAATCTAGTCTATAATTGGAAACACTTTAGAGTATAGAAAAGTGGCTTTTTTTAAAATAAAAGCGATTTTGTACGAAAAAGACACTGAATCAACAAAATATCTCTTAAATATAAAATTTCACTCCAGGAAATTGATTGTAAGGTTGTCCTTTTACATAAGATAGCTACAAAAAAAACATTGGCTACTGCAAAAAAGTATTTTTTTAAACACTTCTGAAACTACATCAGCAAATTTTATTTCCAAACACAAAATAAAAAACTTGATAGATTTATTTCCTTATTTATCATCTTCAGATGTAGCTTATTACAGAGCTGTATTGCGATTAAAATAAGAAAGAGGTAATTATACATAAATTAAAGGTTCAAATTAAAAATTAAATCAAAAAAAATTAAATGTAACTGAAGCTGTGAAGAACGGCTATTTTTGTTAATTTTTGGTTCAAGTTATTGTTATTATATATGAAAATTATATTTAAGAATATTTCAAGGAATACAAAAGCTCTTACAAAATAGATTGTTTGATTGTTTAAGTACCAAATAAAAAGTACTATAAAGATTGTGTTAGTACCAAATAAAAAGTACTATAAAATTTAGTGGGTTAACTTAAAAGTCATGAAAAAGGACCATTTTTTTTTATCAAAAAGTGTTAAGAAAAAAGCAAATTAATTATTTTTATGTTAAAAACTTATAATAAATAATTTAGTTAATGAGATATTCTTTTTTCTTCTTTCTCTGCATTACAGTCCCATGTGGACCAAAGCTTCCTGTACTATCCTCTTCCAAATTTCCCGATCCTTTGCTGCCGTGATGTAGTTGTTGACATTCATGATTTTCAGGTCGTCTACTACCGAATCAATCCTCCTCATTTTAGGTCTGCCTCTAGCTTGAGTTCCATATTCTTTTCTATTTAATATTATTTGAGCCTTGCTATCTTCAGGCATTCGGATTACATGGCCCAGCCATCTTATCCTTTGCGCCTTTATATATCTTATGACCGTTTGGTGCTTGATTAATTCCTCCAGCTCGTTATTGTTTCTAATTCTGTACGTTCCATCTTCATTTCTAACCGGACCATAAATTTTTCTCAACATCTTTCTTTCAAATACAGATAATAAGTTGGAATCAGATGTTTTTAATGTCCAACATTCACAACCATAGGTGAGTACTGGTTTAATTAATGTTCTGTATATACTTAATTTACTCCTTATTGACAGTAATTTGGAACGTATAAGTTTTGAATGAGTATAAAAACATTTATTAGCCGCACTTATTCTTTCTTTAATGGCACTGGTTGAGTCATCTGAGCTGGAGAAAATGACGCCTAAGTACTTAATTTGAGGTACACTTTCAAACTTGTAATTTCCAATATTTAAACTTTGCGTACCCCTCAAGTTTCTGGCTTTTACAAAATATTTCGTTTTCTGTTCGTTTATGCTGAGACCGATATTATTAGTATTTCGCTCTAGTTTTAGAAATGTGTCTTTTAGTATTCGTACATTCCTGGCAATTATAACCATATCGTCCGCATATGCACACATTTGTACTGACCTGGTAAATATTGTTTTGTCAGTACCAATATCTTTCAGAGCATAATGCAACATTAGGTTGAATATCAGTGATGAAAGGGCATACCCCTGTTTTACACCGGATTCTATGGGGAAAGGGGTCGTTAATTTTCCTTGTACCAAAACCTGCGCACTTGTATCCTTCAAAGTGATACAAGTAAGCCTTATCAATTTCTCAGGTATGCCAAATCTCTGCATCACTCCAAAAATTTTCTCTCTATTTATGCTATCAAAAGCCTGTTTGAAATCAATAAAAAGGCAGTGTACATCCCTCGAAAATTCATTGAATTTTTCAAAAATTTGACTCAAAATGAAGCACTGATCCGTGGTTGACTTGTTTTTCCTGAAACCACACTGATATTCAGTTATAACTTCCTCTGCTATGCTGCCAATGCGATCATATAGGATATTTGTGAAAACTTTATACGCTGTATTTAAGAGAAATATTCCACGATAGTTTCTACACTCTTTTTTATCTCCTTTCTTATGCACAGGAAATATTAACGTACTATTCCAGGAATCTGGTATATCTTCATTCTTCCATATTAAAATTATCAATTCATGTATTTTCTGTAACACTGCATCTCCACCGTACTTGATCAACTCCGCTGTTATTGAATCTTCGCCACTAGCTTTGTTGTTTTTCAGTTTATGGATTGCATCTTTTGTCTCATCAATACTAGGTTCCTCGACTCTGTTTTCGGCGCTACTTATTGGCGCAAAATTTTCGTTCAATTCATTTTCATAATCGGATTTTTTAAACAACTCAGTGAAATACTCCTCCCACCTATCTAAAATCTTTTCTCCCACGATTATTATTTCATTTGAACTGTTTCTACAAATGCCCAATCGGGGCTGGTAAGGAGTAGTTTGGTTTTTAATACCTCTGTAGAAATTTCTTATATGACTTTTAGAGTTTTGTTCTAATTCAAGGACTTTAGCATTAAGAGCCTCCCTCTTTTTTCTTCTTACTAATTTTTTTGCTTCTTTTCTCTTTTGTTTATAGTCTTCACAATTTCTCCTCGTAGCTCTGTTAACATATTTTTTCCATGCTTCATGTTTTAATTCATTAACCCTCTTACATTCAGTATCGTACCAATTATTTTCGTTTCGTCTTGACCGGTGACCTATTATTTCCATAGCCGCATCTTTAATAGTTTGTTCAATAACTTGCCAATTCTCCGAAGAACCTTGAAATATGTCTACGTTTTGAAACTTTTCATTAATTTTTGTCTGATAGTCCGCCCTAATTCTATCATCTGCCAATTTATCAGTGTTCCATTTCACACGTTTGTAGGAGTTTCTGGTAGTTTCATTAGATATTCGTTGTCTAAATTTTACCCAAATTAAGTAGTGATCAGAATCACAGTCCGCACCTCTACACGACTTTACATCAAGTATTGTGGTCGCATGCCTTCTATCAACCAATATGTGATCGATTTGGTTATTACCCCCACCAGGTATTTTCCATGTGTATTTATGTATACGTTTATGTTTAAATGATACACTACTAATCCATAAATTATTCTCCAAAGCGAAATTCACCAAACGAATTCCATTCTCGCTTGTTTCATCGTGTAGTGAATGCAATCCCGCAACCTGCCTTATAAAGCTTTCCCTACCAACTTTAGCATTGTAGTCGCCAGCAACTACTAATACATCATGTTTTGATGTCTTCTCACATATTTTCGACAATTCATCATAAAAGAGGTCCTTTTCTTCGTCATTTGCATTATTTGTGGGTGCATAGACTGAAACAAATGTTATATTTTGAAACTTTCCTTTAATTTTGAGAACACATATTCGGTCGCTCACAGGTTCAAAGCCAATAATACTATTACGAACTTGATTATTTACATAGAATCCCGTTCCGTATAATCCCTGATTTTCACTGCCGCTATAGTAAATAGAATAATACTTTTTCTTAATTTCCCCTTGCTCTTTCCATCTTAGTTCTTGTAGAGCTGCAATTTTCATATTATATTTAGTTAATTCGTCAATTATTTCTGCCATTTTTCCTGGCTGTAACATTGTATTTACATTCCAATACGCTAAGTACAAATCATAATCCCTATTTCGTTTCCGTGGTCTATTCCGTGTTGATCGTCTATATATCCGAGGCTCTTGTCCAGGTTCCATGACAGTTGATAATTCGGTATGGGGTTGTCAGCCCCATGACCATAGTGCCGCACTCATTATTTAGCCAGAATTCTTCTGTTGCCCAGTGGAGGTATAATGAGTACTTGGAGACAGCTGCACAGGTGCAACGCTGGAACGCTCCAAATAGAGCGAACAATCAACGCCTACCCTGTCGCTTATCTCCCGACCACCTATTATGAGTTAATGAGATATTATTTTATTAAAAAAAATAAGAAGCTGCACCAGTTAAAACGTTTCAGTTTGACGAACGGACGGACAAGTTTGAATCAACGCACAATATTACGCTGAGCAAGAATATACTTACATTCTTATACCGCAGATAAAGCAATAAATATTAACCTTATGCATAATTTAAGTCTGCTAAAATTATAATGGTCCATATCCACTCAGTTTTGGTACACCTCCTACACTAACAACAAAGTACTTCAAAAATAGCGGAAGTATACCAAAATAAAAAATTAGGACTTCAGAAAATCTTCAAGAACTTTTAAACGGTTAGCAGAATTCGCTTTAAAATTCGCACGCAAATTCATAAAATGATGCTTGATTTATGGGCAAATATTAAAAAAATCTCAGCGCGCAAATTTTTTTTTATTTAACCTCAAACTTTAAATTCGTTTTTCTCGAAATCAAGTCAATGCGTATGAACCAAACTAATATTTAGGTGACGATGAATTGAATTATATTCAAAACTGTGGTTTAGTATATATAAGAAAGACATAATTATTAAATCATAGGAGTAACAGACAGAAATTAATTTTTCAATAAAGAAAAGGTTTAGACAAAAACAAAATAATAATTTTATTCAAATATATGTATGTACATATGAATGCGCTAAAATTTTGCATTTTACAGTTTTTCGCTTGGAATAATAAAAACAAAATTTTAAGTACATACGCACTTTAATTGTGTATGTTTATTTTTTTAAAGCTTGCTGACGAAACATAATGTTCAATACTATAGAAAATTAAGCATTAATATTCAGAAGCCACAAAACATTTGATATCTAAGCTGACATCAAATGTTTTGTGGATGATATAAGCTGACATTTAGTTACGTTAAGATTAATTCGAAATTTTTAAGGGAAATTCAAAGTACTGCGTAGCCTTGTGGATAGCGTGGGAGTCTGGTGACCAGAAGGTTATTGGATCGATGCTTGCCTGGATGTTGTCATATTTTTCTTTTTTATGATTATATTAAAAAATTTTTATCTTGTTTAAATTTTTTGTTTTATAATAATTTTTTAATTGTTGAACATTTTGAAATTTTCTGTTGGAACAATTAGAAAAAAAATTATAAGTACAAACATACATAATTATGAATGGATACCTATTTTTTTAAAACTGTGGGTGAACATATAGAATTAAATTTTTCAAATAAAGAAAAGGTTTAGGTAGAAACAAAATGATAATTCTATTCAAATACATGTACGAGTATGTACATATGAATGTAATTTTTCAAATAAAGAAGAGGTTTAGGCAAAAACAAAATAATAATTTTTCTCAAATACACGTATGTACATATGAATGTATTACAATTTAGAATTCTACAGTTTTTCGCTTAAACAATAAAAATAAAATTTTAACTACATACGTACATGAATTCTGTATGTAAATTTTTTTAAAACTTGCTGACGAAACATAATATTCAAAACAATAACAAATGAAGCATTAATATTCAGATGGCACAAAACATCTGATTTCTTTGATAAATTAAAGGTGACATTTATTTACGTTAAAATTATTTCGATTTTTCGAACCAAAAATGTGTGAGATCATTATATTTTCAAATATTATTTTTTTATTATTATTGTATTATTTAAAACATTAAGTGCATATACATGAATATTGAACATATTTAATAAGCTTAAATATTAAAAAAAAATCTTAAGTTAAAATTCATGCAAAATTTAAAAAATTAATCAATTAAACATACCAAAAAAAAATAACAAATATAAAAAATTAAAAAAAAATAAATAATAAATAAAAATAAAAATTAACTTTCATTTTCAATAAACGACATAAAAATATAATTAAACTAATACTAAAATACAAAAAATTATATACACGTGTACATGGTTGCAAACTAAAATACTTAAATCTAGTCTAATATTATATAAACCCTAGTACCTAACTTGCATAATTTACAAAATTATTTTTGCCTCCTCATATGTTCATAAAAAAAAAATAAATGTTTTTCGAATATATAAAAAATATATATTGCACATAACAAATATATTGTAATTGTACCATCGCTCATACATATGTGGTATAAAAAATAACTATACATCCGTACTCGTATATTGTATAAACTACAATATCATACAGGATTTCAGCGCAAGGCTGCACGGATGCACAATATTTTCAAAATCGATTTGTTTAGAGCATATTGTCATCAAATACCCGTGGCTCCAGAAGATGTCGACAAAATCGCAATTATCACACCGTTCGGATTGTTTGAATCTCCCCGCATGAGCTTCGGCTTAAGGAACGCGGCTCAAACTTTCTAGCGTTTTATGAACCAGGTGTTATTTGGATTAGATTTCGCGTTCGTTTACATAGATAATATTCTAGTTCCAAGTAGAGATTTTTCGGAACACCTAAATCATGTTAGAACAGTTTTACAGGGATTAGCAACGTTTGGTTTAACTATTAAACCAAATAAATGTGTTCTAGGCATTAAACTCTAGATTTCCTTGGTCATACTGTTACTAGTTAAGGCCATCCAGCGAGATGTGCTGTGCCATTCGTGATTTCGCCCCACCTCAACCAATCAAACAGACTCAGTGTTTTGTGGGAATGGTAAATTTCTACCACGGGTTTATCCCAAATCTCGACGAATTACTGGCACCTATCTATTTGCATCTAACAGCCTTACAGAAACGAAAGAAATCTTCTAAAACCCAGTTCACGTGGCCCGAAGAGTGTAATGTTTCATTCGAAAAGATAAAGGAGGCCTTAGCGTCAGCATCGCTTCTTGTGAAGTCCGAGGCAAACTAGGCATTTGGAGTATATTGCTCAGTTTTGCACTGATGAGAAATATAACTGGTAAAAGTAATGTGATTGCTGATTATCTTTCACGTGATTTCAAAACTCACTAATAAATTCGGATTTCAATCTTAGTGAATTTATCTTGAAACAGAAAGAAGATAATACTTTACGGAATTATACGTCAATTGACTCCAAAACTAACACGTTGCAGTTTTCTTACATAGAGGTCCCGTTATCGACAGAGAAATTATTCTGCGAAACTTCAACTGGCAAAAATAGGCCCTGGGTACCAGAACCACTGAGACACCAAATTTTTGAGAAATTGCACAATTTGTCCCATCCTGAAGTCCGAGCAATGAGAAAATTTCGCTGAGCGATATTTTTGGCCAAATATGAACAAGGACATAGGTCTCGGAATTGCATCAGTTGCCAGAAATCGAAGATTACAAGACATACTAAGTCGACGACGGATAAAATACCGGTCCCTCCTGGAAGATTTGAACATATACATATGGATTTGGTTGGCCCACTTGCGCCATCAAACGGTTTTTCCTACATATTGACTATCGTGGAAAAATTTTCACGTTGGCTTAAGGCGTATCCAATAGCGGACATGTCAGCTGAAACACTGGCTTTAACTTTTCTTGCACAATACATTTCACGTTTTACCTGACCATTGGTGCAGTGGTTATAAAAATTATATTCAATATCATATAAGTTAATATGCAATACTAATAAATATTATACAAGTAATTTTCAAATACACATAATATTCGATACTAAAGACTAAGAAAAATAAACAGTAAATATTAATAAACTGAAATATTTAATATAAATAAAAAACTACGGTAAGCTAGTCACCTACATAAAAACTAGGGCATGATAGATATCATGCATTAGCCCTATACTCCTCCTAGGAGTGAAGAAGGAAAAAAAAAAAAAAAAACATTTTACGTTTTGGCGTACCTTCTAGAATCACCACGGATCAGGGATCCCAGTTCGAGTCTAAACTTTTCTCAAATTTGAACTAATATCACTAGTTTTAAGAAAAATGGATTAAAAATTTTATTCTCTTAAGTACATAAATATGTTCTGTAGTTTTTTAGCACTTTTCCAAAAAATTTTTGAAAAAAAGTGCTTATTCGTTTCACTCTTTCCGTCCGCCAGTCTGTCCATGTCTGTTCACAAAACTTCTACACCATAACCATTTTTGAAATTTTTCAAACGCAGAAAGGTAATGGGTTGCTTCACCTAGCGCGGTATTCTATAGTTAAACTTTAGAAAAACAAAATGGCCTTTCAAATATATCGTTATCTAAAGTCCTTTTTTTCCAATTTTTTTATTTCGTTTTTCTTCTCCACCCCAGCCTGTAGAAGCTTGAAATTTTAGGGGCTTTTATACATTAACAAATAGCTAATTTCGTTAGAAGAAATTTTTTTTCCATCTCCACCCCCTCTCAAGTTATCGCTTCTGGAAATTTGTAAAATTTGAATTTTTGACGCCTTATATTTCCGAAACCGCAAGCTTTTTCAAATTTCTATAAACGCAAAAAGCTAACGGTAAATTCCATGACATTAAAAAATATAATTATTTGTCTTAACTCACACAATTAACCCTTAAAATCGAGCATAATGTTTACCCCACTTTATATTCATTTTTGCTTTTTTTTAGAGACTGCATAAATTACTCATCCTAAATATATGTAATCCTAGAAATAGTTTTGTATATGAATGAAAATAATTGTAATAATGTGATAGGTTTAACCCTACTTTATTTTCCTTTTTACCACTTTTCTAAAAAAATTTTTTAAAAAATGTGCTTATTAGTTACACTCTGTCCGTGTTCGTAGAACATAATTTTTACCTATAAAAATAATAATTATAAATAAATATATATATAAATATATATATTTTTACCCCCTCTAAAAGCAAATTTTTGATGTCGGTTTTCTCCTAAATCCCAGGTTGTAAAAGTCTGAAATTTTAACAG